ACATTGCTGCGCCTTCACACTGTGATTGACCGAAGAATATTGCACAAAATTATGCCTAGCATTAGAATTGTACATAAAACTAAATACATTTATTTCAAGATTGATTCATCCAAAAACAACAGACACAACGATTAATGATTTTGTTTTTTTTGTATATTTTTTTTTATTCTTTTCTGAAACCTTGGAACTCGATCAACAATGTCGCACAATTCAGAAATATAACGATCGCATTTAATTGTTTATCGAAATATGCAACTCACAAACGAAGAATGTGTATCATAATGCGAAAATGAGACATGAGTCTTCTTTGAATCAGCTTTTTGTGGTGAGTCGTAAGTTTCTACGGAAAATTGACACAACAAAAACAAGATTTGACGAAAAAGGGATTCAATTTATTTTTTGAATAAGAAAAATTCAGTTGAATTTGAATCAGACAACGAATATTCATACATGGACTACTCAGAAGGAAGAAACTTTTTCGTTTTTTTTTTTCAAAGTCATTTGAATACATTCGCAATTCTTTGGTATTTTTTGTTGGTTTTTCCACTATTTTCTAATTTTTCGTTATTTACACTTTTTTGGAATTTTAAAACTTTTTTTCATTTTATTTTAGAAATAAATGATGGGAAAAAATTTCAATTTCTCTCGAGTTTTTCTTGAAAAAAATAACTCTAAGATGGTTTGATTTAAAAATATCCAAACTTTTTACACAACTATCGAAGGCTTTAAAATTCGATTATTTCCACCGCTTTTGACCGCTTTTTGACCAATTAAAATCGCTAACAAATTCTTGGAAAAAAAATATCGAAATCTATCGTATATTTCATCACTCTCAGCTTGAATTAATTTGAACTTGTACTCGAAAATTCGGTCGTTAAACGCGAAGCACTCCAGTTTGACTGTAGTCGCATTTTGCATTGGGTCGATGCACTTGGTGTTTTTCGTCGGTTTGATAACAGAAAATAGAAAGAGACTGGCTCACTCGCAGCCAAATCTCCAACGATAATCTCACGAAGTGAAATAACAACGACCAACCACGACGAGCGCAGTCGCATAGTCGTATTGTCAATTTGTTAGCAGTGTGTATGGCTACTTGAAATTGGATTTAGTGTTTTAAAATGACATGATTATTGAATTTATTGGATGATTTCATTATGCAATTTTGATAGTTGCTTTTAAACTGAGTGTAATCCTTCAGAATTGTTTGTGTTCAAGTGAAATGACTTCGGGCGTCCGACAGATTGAACAAAAAAGAAAAATAAGAAGAAAGAGATGCGATGTATTATCCCGTTGCCGATCTAAAGTGCACAGATTTATAACGCACGGTGTGCGGGTATGCGGGCTACGAAGAGCGGAACGAAAATCAGAATAATGAAAACCAAATGCGAATGTTGAAAGAAGGTGCAATTTCTCTTTGTTATGGCGTTCATTAATAATAAGGGTGAACATAAAATTGAGATTAGTCGCATTTAGGACACATAGTGTTGTGCCATTGAAATATGATTTGAGTGGTTAATCAAAAGTCGAGTCATTTGAAGTGGCACTCTGACTTGTAATAATAACGAGCGAGAGCGAGAACGAGAACGAGAACGAGAACGAGAACGAGAACGAGAACGAGAACGAGAACGAGAATGAGAACGACAACGAGAGAGAGAGAGAGAGAGAGAGAGAGAGATGGAGAGAGAGAGAGAGAGAGAGTAAGAGAGCGCAAAAACGAATACATTGTATAATTGAATGCATTGTCGAAATGAAAGCAGAAAAAAACGTGTATGAAAAATGCAATCGATGTAAATATTTCAACGTCATATTCACTTTGCGAATGTGATGATAAGGAATTACGAATGGGCAAGAAAGAGAGCGAACGAATGGGAACTATAGAAAAAAAAGATTGAGACCGCTCCCCCAATTAACAATCATTATCTAGAAAAATTGTTGATCTTTTGATTCAGTTTCATTGCTACAAGAAGCTGACAATCAATCATCTAATAAGCAATTTCCTTTTCACTTCGTTCAGTTTTTGAGACTGAAACAATCTATACGTGGATATAATGAGCGATCATGCCGAAGTACACACACAGTTATTGCTTACGAAAGATATGAATGATCGAAAAAAATTTCGATTAAAATGAAGCGCACCGAATTCAAACTCTTCGTTTCATTTTCTTTCGTTCGTTTTCAAAATGAGATATGATAAGAAGTTTTGCAAAGCGTTCTTATCTCAGGCCAGAAATAAACGCAAATAGTTCATTTTTTTCTCGGTGAGTAAGTATGTGTGTGAAAACCACAGGAAAAATAGATGTGTGGGAATTTGCCGCATTTGCAGGTCGACAATTGCTTGGCGACAATGTCGCATTTTTTTTCAACTTCATTATTGCCCTGAAGCCACCCGGGATATACTGTAAGAGAAGGCTGACAAAAATTATAACACAAAAGGCTTAAAAAGTGGCACGTAAACAGCCATAAAACTTTTTTTAGTTGAGTCGTAATTGTGCGCCGATTACTCGTTCCCTTGTCTCATCACTCATACTCGTTGTGTGAAATTACGCGCCGCCTCTCGGCTCTTTGATTCATACATGCGCTAAAAGTTTTAGCGCCGCCGCCGCCAGTACTAGTCTGATTGCTACTTTGTTTAATTACATTTTTTTCTGTTTTTCATACGATTTGATAAGTTGATATCACTGCGAAATCAAATTATGACTCAAAAAGGTTTTATTACACGTAGCGCGACGTTTATTATCACAAAAACCTACGAACTGACCAACACTATATAGTTTTTTTATGGAGCTCTAAATTGAACTTGTGTTTGCTCACAGGGCCATAAAAATAGAAGAAGAAGAAAAAAATGCTAAGCTACAAAACTGCGTCTGCTGCCTACTCGAGCTTAGCAGCAAAAAATGAGGACTTGAATGATTTCTCCATTTTGACTGAATGATGATATTAAGTTGTCTTGATTCAGCAAGGATTTACGATCCGATGAGGTATGCACGCCTTTTGTGTACTTGATAGATTTTGCTGTGTGTGCGCCCGCATTAAAAACATGAATTATTTATACACCATGGCGGCGCTACGCTCACTACATTTGTCTTCACTCCTGTTGATTTTGTGTTACAACCGATCCGAATCGGTTTTCCCGTAGTTTTTTTCTCTTCCCCCTCGTATTTCTTCTTGATAATTTTTGCGTTTTCTTGGAATTGAGATCATTTAACCATCGGAATTTTTGTACGAATGAATCAACTGTTTATTGCATAACTCTTCTACACTCGGTTTAGAAGCTGTAAATAAAATTACATGCAAAATTAACATCGATTGCGGAAGAACGAGTAGTGCGCGCGCATCCACACTTTGCTCTCTCGCTCAGAGCAGAGCAGAGCAAGCAGACAGATAAGATTGATCATTACGGTGATATTTTTAGAGATCCATTCCATTTCTCAATGTCACTTTTCACGTGTACGTATCAATGCGTCGGCAGTTTTTTCCTCTTTCTAATCACACTCATCCTTTCTTTCTCATTCCACGCCTCAATTCAATTCGATTTAGATTGCGTTCACACTTTCAACAGGTGTTACAATCAAATCCATTCTAACGTTTGTAACATATATCAGTGTTCATTGTGACGTCAGACCATTTACAATTAATACCACATTCCATCCACAATAACGTCACATTTACTGACGTGATTAGACAGAAAAAAAATTTATTAGCACCATTCAAAACTTCTTTCACTCACTTTTTTTTGACGTGTCGGCTTTTAGCCAAGTCGAAATAAATTTTTATTTAAAAATCATGACTTAGGCGTAGTTTATGCGTTGGATATATGAAAACCCCTTTTGGTTAAAGGTTTTTGAACTCTATTTAAATGTAATCGATTTCAATAATTAAAATTATTGAAAGCGATCAATTTTTAACTGGACATTTTTCGATTTAAAACGAAAAAAAAATTAGTTCTAAAATGGAAGCATTTTAGTTTGGACATCAGAAACTTCACCTTTTAAGCCAAAAATGTCAGCTTCGAAGACAATAATTCTCAAAAATAATACATTTTCTTTCGAAAATTGAGCAAATTTTTGAAAAACGATCAACAATTTGAAATAAAATTTTAAATATTCAACGTCTGTATATGTTCGATAAGTCATGGACATGATTTTTTAAAAAAAAGTCATGAAATTTTTTCCCAAGAAATTCTCAAGATTTTTACCAAGAACAATTGAATTGACGAAATTGAGTCACAATTTATTTATTTATTTATTTCAACATTTTACAAGACCAGAAATGCAAACAAAATTGTTGGCTAGATAGCATCTGGTGACCCAGATTGTGTCATTTTTTTTGCATCAGATAATTGATAAATTCCAATTGATCGATGCGTACTGATAAATTCAGTGATTTTTGTATGACTCGATGTGTAAACAATAAAAAAGTCAATTGCCATTGAATAAATCAATGAATATGTTCGTCATATATAGGCGCTACTTAATTCTCACTTGAATTTTTGAAGAAAATCCGGTAATATGTGCGATAATGAAATATTTCATTTTCATCGACATTTTTATCGATAATGCCATTGTAACTTCAGGTAATCCCGTTCTCGATCGACTGATTTGTTCAAATTGTCGATGTTTCGGTTATTTCCTCTTGACGCAAATATCAATTGACAAAAGTAAGAGATTAAACCAAGTACAAAGACGTAGATTTCGAATCAGCCAATCGGTTCGTTTTGGTTTTGGTTTTACGTATTTTCCATCGAACGATAATTTCGTGTTTGCAATTGAACAGGATTGTGTTCAATTTCCGTGAGATTTTTGAACTTTTTCTGCCGTTGCCGTTGCCGTTGTTGCATGTAGTCATTTAAAAATGGTTGAATGCACGATAAAGAAACACCAACAGATGAGTGTAAATGCACAAACCACAGCTCGTGCTCAGTAAGTAGAACGAAAAAATCTCCATGTTTTTTTTCTCGAGCAAAAAAAAAAACGAAGAAAAAAGATAATAAAATCACTCACCTCAGATGCACTTGTAGCGACCGAACTGATGCTCGGCGACATCGCCGATTCGGGACTCGCATTCAATCCGAAGCCTTTGTTTTTATATGATGAGTAAAAATTTGCAACATAGCCATTGTCATAAGGACCTGAAATACAACAAAAAAAAGCGCAATTAAAAGCGAAAGTTTTACTATTTCAATCGAGTTGTTGAATACAGAAATGAACGAATCGAAAGCGAAAGTTTTCATTTGTTGCATTGTTGCAACGGAATTTAAACGCTTCATTTACCTTGCGGTGTTTGATGGGTTTGAGACGAGTTTTGTGACGACACTGACGGTCGATATGGCGGCAAGCTGATATTTGACAGAATTTTCACTGATGACGAACCACAATTATTGCCACTCCCTTCGCCCAGCGATGATGGCGAATCGTTTATATTCGATGACGTTGATGCTGCCTTTCTCTGATTCAAAGGAAATTTACATAAATCAATTAGAGGACGAGTTTCTCAAAGATTTCAAATGAAAACTAAAGAAGATTGAAAAACATTTTGTGAATTTTGTTCAAATCGAATCTGTTCGAAAAAAAATTCCCGAAATTTTTCTTGAAAAATGTTGAAAAATTCATAACAAAACGGGAAAAAATCGGACAGAGGTTCGAAAGAATCTAAAGCTTACATAACCAGATAGCTGGCCTGAATCTAATGAGTTCACTCCAGTTTCACTCGACGACAATCGCTTCGATTGTTGTGAAAACATATCTGTTTGTTCGTGAGGCAAAGAGGTTTGTTCCGGTTGCAAGGGTTGCTGCAATAGAACAAAAACGCATTAAAATTGAAACCAATTTAAATTCGTTGAATTGTAATTGTTCCTACCTCTTGTTTTGATTGGTGATGTTGTTGTTGCAACTGTTGAATCTGCTGATGGCTCGGCTGATGGTCACTCCATTCATTTTGTTGGAATGATTCGCTCAAGTATTGACGCACTTGATTCTTTTGCTTCTGTATAACATGATACCGTGTGGGATTCTCCAGGACAGTTCGAACCTGCAAAATAAATTGGAATGTATTATTTTCATGACTCCATAAGAAATATTGAGGAGAAAAAACGTTAAGAAAACTTAAAGGTGATTAGTCAAAAAGGTTTATTCTTCTTGCGTTTTCATTGCTTTTTTTAATTCTGAAATGGCTCTACGAAATCATTGTGTATGGCATTTTATTCACATTTCAATAATTTATTGCGGCAATTTCAGATGCGCTTACCTTCAAGACTTGCGGCGGTAAATCGACTCCGATGTGAAGAGGAACTTTGAGCTGTGCCGTTGAGGGGTCGGTTTGCGGTGGCATTGGATTTGGAGTTAAATGTGTGTTTGGGTTTGGGTTTGAGTTCGGATTTGAGTTTGCATTTGGCGGCTGTGATTGATTGGAATAGTGTCCGCTGTTAAAATCACTGCCTTCAGTTGAGGTGGATGGCGTCGGTGACGATGTGTACAATTGCGGAATGCCGATGCAATTGCGCGGCACTTGCAGCTGCGGGCTCGAATGTGACGAATGAGCCATTTGAGATGAATGATCAATACTAGTATTGGATCCATGACCCTGCATGGATAATTTCCGCTCATTTTCTCGTCTCTCTAGTTCCTGTCGCTCAAGCTCCTGCAGTTGTTCCCGTTGCAACTGTTGCTTCAGCTGTGTGCGCGAAGTCGGTGTCGCCGTTTTAAATGTGGGCCTATGGTATATATAAAGCGATTAAAATATATTTGTCGCAAATCGGGAATGAAAAATTGGGTGAAAATTTGCTTTGAAATTTGTTGTTTGTAAAAAAATCAACGTGTAATTTTTCCGTTTTTCTTTATTTTTGTAGCTTTAAAACTTGGGTAAAAATCAGTTAGGTACAGTTCAAATCCAATTCCATTTAGATTCAATGGTTTTTTTTTCCATAAGGTTCTTGATGCATGAATTCCAATGGTTTTAGCGATATTTAGACTGTTTGTTTCTCTTCATGGCAAATATTTTAAAAATAAATCACGCAATTTTGTTTAAAGGCGTCATGTAATTATCATTTCATTTCTTTCACAGAAACCAAAATTATCATTTGCATTTTTCTCTCTTTAATATGACTTTTAGAATTGAGTCAGAGCTGATATTGTTGCTTCTTTCATCAACAGTGGCTTGTGTTTTTCTTTTTGAACGGCAATTCATACTCTCCCTGTCTATCCTAACTGCTCACTGCATGAGTCATACACGAGTGAATGGGATACACGTTAAAGGAAATTAGTTTCACTTTAGTCATGTAGAAGCCAAAAAACAAAAATCTCTAATCATCGATCAATTACTCTCCGATACATGTTTCGCTCACAGTGGTCGAGCGCGGCTGCCGCAGCAACAACAACAGCGACGACAGCGACGGTGACCACACGAGAGAAAAGAGCATCTCAAATGTCACATTTGTGTTGATATTTCTGTAGGTGTAGTGTGTGAGTTTTGCGCTCGGCTTTGTATGCACGGCGAAAAGAATTGCCGTTTTCCTCATTCTTGGCAACAAAACCCATGGCCTTGTTCATTGAAAATTCATCATATTTATAGTACGTCAACATGTTCGTATCGCATTAACAGCTGTGTTTGTGGTTTTAGCGTTTGCTTTTATTATATACGCCTATCGAAAATGTGGAAATATTTCTAATTCTCCTACAAGATTCCGTTTTTTTTTCACTCGTCATTCTCTGCTCAAATGCTACAGATATATATAATTGAATTTGTGTAAACAAAAAAAAATGGTATCTACTGCAATGACAGTTGATACATTCAAATGGAGCTGATCGAATTGGATTTGGATTTGGTAGTGTTGGTGGGAAAAGAAGCGATTTGTTTTGGTTTTATTCAATCATGTTGGCTACTTTTGGTCATTTAGTGGTTTCGAAACGGAAGCCGAGAATATTGTCTTCGGTCTACGATATCTTCGCTTACCCGCCCAGAATCGGTGGCAATCCGTACGCTTTTGGTGTGTGACACGGAGAATTACTGATTGTCGCCGGTGTACAGCCAATTATATCGACACCCTTTATTTGCAAAACAACATTTCATTATTAGTGACTTTCGACAATTCAAATGCTAATCAAAAGCATTTTCTGAACAAAAATCACACATTTTGCGGTCTTTTTTTTCAATTTCTTTGTCATTTTTTTCCATTTGAACCTCTTCGGACTTTTTCTTTTTCTTCGTTTTTGAACTTTTTTCTCTCTTTAAAACATCTGTTTGCTCAAAGTGTATGGCTTTTTCAAATTAAGTTTGCTTTTTATATGACTTTTTAAAACTTTTAAACAAAGAAAAAGTCTCAATTTATCGGTTTTTAATTCATTTGTTGCCCTTTTCCAATAGCAACATCGTGATTCCATTAGTTTTTTGTTATCTTTTGTTAGATTTGACATCCCGAAAATGTTGAAACAATTTTCGAAAATGACGAAGATTGTTCCGAAAACGTTTAAGAATGAAGACGAACTTTATACAAATTTTTCCTTAAAAATGTCCACAAAATCATTCTCTTTTGTTCAGAAAATGCTTAAGATTGGGCTAGAATCTAGTCGGATGAGCTTAAAATGACTCTTTGTTGGGAATATATGGTTGTAATGGATCGCACCAGATCGACAATGCTTGGATCCATTTCAAGGATCATTTGTAGGTCTTCATCGATGCCAACGGTGACTTTGAGATTGGATAAATCGGTTTTGCTGCGTGCTGCATCGCTATCACTGGTATCCATTTTCTGGTTCATTGTATTTTGATTGTCGTCATCACTTTGCGGTATTTGGACATCTTGAAAGGCATTTTCAAGATGGCTCAATGCGATTTCGGTCGGCGAAAACATGTCCATTCTCGATTCTTTTTCAAAAAAACACGTTTCTATTTCAAACACACAGACATACACTGCACACTCTTAACACAAGCACTTCAAATATCCATTCACTTTGGTGAACAGGTGAGTAATAAAACTGAGACAGAACGAAAGAAGAAAAAAACTGTGAATTCAAGTCTAGTACTGTATTCACGCTTGTAATTATTCGTTCACATTTTTTGTGTTGTGTTGTTGTGTTCCGTTTTGTTGGCCTTTTGATTTTGATTACGTCAAAAGAATATTTGTTCTTTTCGTTTCAATCAATGTTTATTTGGCTATATTTCAATTGTCTATTGACACAAAAAAAAACCCAAAAATGGTGGTGCGAATTTCTCGACAAAGAAGAAAAAAAAATTGGTCGTCGTCGAGATTAGTGTGCGTAAAAAGGCTTTAAGGCGCGCTTAACGATCGTCGTAATTTCGTCGTTTCTTATGAAATTTGCTTTTTATCACTTTATTTACTTCAGCGCGAAAATTTGCTGCTTGATTCGTTCGACACACGGACGAGGAAAAACTAGCGCGCAAAAGTGAATCTTCCGAATTTGAACACATGCTATCTATCTTCTAAATGTTTAACTCGCTCTCTCTCTGAACAACTGATCGGGCGCACCGTAATTCTCGTTTTGCTATATATTTTTTTTTGCTTCTGTCTTTTTGCTGTTGCTGCTGATGCGGGAGTGCAATAACACTACTACTTAATTTGCAAACAAATTGTTTTGTTTCGGTCTTATTTTAGGACTGATTGTTGATTGCTTATTATTTGTATTCTGTCTCGGTGCAGTAGTTCTAATGATCTCAAGCGCACACCGTTGCTTTTAAAACAAACATACACCCCAAAAATTGATACACACAATGATGAGTGTGCAATTTAATTTCAAAGTGGGAACCAAATATTTCTTCTTCTTTTTTCTCTTCTCCTTTCCTTTCGGTGTATACACAATGACGCTACACGTTTCAGCCAATAATAAACAACAAAAAACATTCGCAGGGAAAACGATTCGAAGTGAAAGATCGGTGAGAGATAGAAAGAATAAAAGAAAACCGCTGAAATTGTCTTTGCGAATATCCGACGCCAAATTACGCGTCGTATTTTTCTTTTATTTTCTTTTTACGCGCACATACACATTTGAATAAACAAAAAAATGTGCTTTAAATAGACACACAGTAATGCCAAATTGTGTTGGGCGCAGTCGGACGACAGAGAGTGATGAATGCTACAGAGATCGGCGTATATTCAGGCGATCCTTTATGTGGTGGCGACATTATAACGGCCAAAATATCCTGGCAAGAACATCTTGATTAGCATTAATTTCCTGGTATAATTCCCTGTGAAAAGTGTCCATAGTACACAAAGGAAGTTCAAAATGACCAAATATGGCATTTCGATCGAAAGCGGAACGCATTTTTTTTTTCTAAAATCTTATCATCTTCTCTTGACATTTTCATTAAATACAAATTTCCACAATTTTTCCTGTTTTTGTCTTGAAAATGTCTGGAAATGCCTCTTTGCGATTCACAGATTATTTTGCAAAATCCATTTTCTGCGCATATTTTTCTCGAGTCAGATATTTCAACATAAGAAAGATTCATTTTTGTTGTTGTATTGCCGGGTAATGTTTTTTCAAGTGGTTTAATTTTTTTTTGCCTCCAGAAAAATCTTTCATTCAAATCTTTAATCCATTCGGATCCTTTGTTACATTTTCATGGATCGGTTTGTCTGTGAGTATAAACAAACGAAAATGCTTCGAAAAACAATGAACCGCCAGCGAAGAGTGTCAACAGAGCGATTGTCTGTTGTGCGATAGACAACGTTTCATGACCAGATTGAGCATGCGCCAAATACATATCAAATTCGATATTTCATTTGTGTCGAAATCATATTTTTAGACCAGACACAGATCGTAGTGAATAAAATACATTGCAAAACGAGAATAATATTGTAGCGGTGTGCGCACGAAACAAGACCTCCAAAACTCATCATCGTTTCAGTTTAATTATCACGTTTGTCTACAGCGCGACAATTTCTTGCCGCAGCTTATCTAAGAAAAGTTCATGGCAACTAGTTTCTTTACATGTTTTTTTCTCTCTGTTTCGGTTGCGTGTTTTCTATCTATTTGCTACTGCTATTCGAATATATATCTTTTCTTTGGTTGTTCAGTGTTGTTTCGCACAAGAAATCACGTCATAAAATTTACCGGCGACGCGCATTCAAAGCGAAGTCATAATAATTATCGGAATCATAATAGGAGTGAAAGAAAATATGAGGGAGAGAGAGAGAGAGGATTGGTCAAAGACTTACGTTTCAGTTTCTTCGGGCACAGTTTTTGATTTAAGCTCGTAGAACATCACATCGTTGCATGCTTTGTCAAGCAGTGAATCTATGTTGGAGTCATCTTCGAATACGCTATAGTCGAAATCGACGAAGTCGAAGTTCATATCGATGCCCGATTCGTTGTCCATCACATTTGGAGCTTAGCACTTTGGCTCCAGATCGCCTACTTCAAAAAATGGTTGGAAGCACCCGCTCCGTTCTTATTCTTTTTGGGTATATAATAGTGTACTGCAGCTCAGATTTGAATCAAACTGAAAAAAAATGGTGAAGAAAAGAAAGATGAAACATTTTGGCCAATCTCAATGCTGAAAAAAGTGTAACGAATTTCCAACAAATTGCATTGACTGATAGGAAAACGTTAAATAGTTGCATTTCAAAGAAAATATTTTGTAAAATGCACGTATGTCATTGCGGTTGCGTGCTCGGGTGCCTATTATTATTTGTACCGCATCTACAATTGCAGTTTCAATTTGAAGTTTGTATGCGATGTGCAATGCTCACAGCTCATATATCAGCTGTTAGCTGGTTATGAATGCAATTTTCATAGAATGAATTGTGTTCGGCCATTGTTCCATGGGCCATTCGACAAACTTGCTTCTTCTCTCTGTCTCTTTTAGTTAATTTTGATTAAATTATTTGCCTCGAATGACGTAGTTTCTACAATTCGTCTCTAAAAAATCGGCTGATTGATCTAAAAATATTGAGTGCACGCTTCTGCCTCTGGTTCGGACCGTAAGTCTGGGCAATTGAGCCGATGTTTCCATTTTACTATATGATTTTTATTATTTAATAGAATCAAGCCCGTTGAATGGTTCAACGCAACAAATAAATGTTCCGCTCTCTGTCTCTTGTGGTGCTGTTGATGAGTAATGCATGATTTGGCGCTGCCTATTACCAAGTTGTGTCACAATTAGAAAACAAATGATTCGCAGAAATAATGGAATGTTGATGATAGTGTGAGTCAAATTGTGAGCGCTATGATAACATGAAATAAAACCAGTGCCCCCATAACGTCATTGATTCGACGAACGAAAAATCAAAATAAAAACAAATCGAATCTTTTTTTTCGTTCATTTTTATGCTTTGTGGAGATAACCCAAACTAAGTCGAAATTTTACGAATTACAAGAAAAAAACGGTCTGCATCACATTTGGTCCAATTCATTCGATTATTGTTTTTGGCATTCGATCGCTTCGGTTCGTTGATTAATTTTATGGGCAGTTTTGAATAAATTTTGTTCTGATGTTTCTACATTGAAATGATCTCATTTTCAGCATCCATCGTTTTAATGCGAAATAAGATTTAATTATTCATTTTTGAACTTTTGAATTATTTCTTTGAATTTACAAACGTCCTTTTCAATTTTGTTAATTTTTTTTATACTTTTAGACAATTCGAAGTAAATTCTTGACTCAACTGTCAGTTACATTTTCAACCATTTTTGCATTAATTGATTGAAAAAATAAATTGAAAAAATGTTGAGATCATTTTTCTTATCATTTTGCAGGACCTGCTTTCATTCGGGGCATGAAATTCCATTTACATTCTTCTTCCAGATTCTTCTGAAATTTCCTTAAAAAAAATGAAAAAACCATTTTTCTGTTCTACTCCATTTGTTGCCTTTTCTTGTCAAAATGTTTTAAAATAAAATACTTTTCGAACTTTTCAAAATATTTTTCCAGGTCATTTGTTCGATTTCTTTGCGAAATGTCTGTCCGTAAATGCCTTGTATTTTCGATCACTTTTTTTTTTAAACACACACATTGAAACAAAAGTCACTTGACTGAAGTTTACTTGCAAGTTTACTTCGAGGCACTGTTCTAAATGTTTGCGTTTTTCGATTTGGAGTGTTGTTTTACACAATGCTGATTGTTTGTTTACGAAAGCCCATCGTAAGAGGATAAAAATGCCAACAATTTCTGGGTATTGCATTTTAAAGCTATTTCTCCCTTTTTCGCGTTTTTTCCACTGTTCAACTCAATTCTATTTTTAAGTGACGAAACAAACCAAAAAATGCTCTTTCGTTTTTGTATAAATTCCACACGGAGTGCAGTTGATTTATGTGCTGGCGTTTTCTTATCGTTATGCAGTCATATATTCACTTGTTCATTATTGATACACATTAAAACCTATACAGTCTGACTGACAGACACACAATTACTTATTCAAATGAGTAAAAAAAACAGAAAAAACGAAAAAATTGTACGAACTTCTTTTGATTGAGTATAAGCAGCGAAGGTGTTGATATTACTATTTGTTTATATCATTATTAAAATCGGAGCAGCGAACAGAAAATATGAGATGAAGAAAAAACCTAAACAAAATTGCGGCAAGCAATTGTCGCTTGACGAAATCTTCGAGATATTTATGTGCGAGAAATAATTAAAACGTAACGTTTTTCCAGCGAAATGTTTTGGGTTTGGTGTGGTGTTACGTTATTCGTCGCTTCTTGTTTGTTGGTTTGATTTCGGTCAAAATACAGAGAGTGATTGTGCGTCACAGAGTGACATAAAATCACTGTTTTGTGGTGTGAGTAGATCGCCAGTTTTGGTACAGCCACTGACTACGAAATACGATCGGCATATCATTCTTTATATTTTATTACATTCTTCTTGACATTTTATTAATTCGGTCGTTTTTGCCGAATGATTTTTTGCATGTAGCCGCACAAGAGCGGAGTACTGTGTCTATAGGTCTTACGGAAACTCATGAACGAAATGCAAAATACGACACAGGTTTCTCTCTGCGTCGTTTTGTATGTTATTGTTGTTACATTTGTCGTCGTCGTCGTCGCTGTTGTCGTTGTTGTTGTCTCTTGAGTGTCGTTAATATTCACTTAGAATGTGTATATTTGTGTTGTATCGATATCCAGCCAGCATCCAAAATACGCGTATGTGAGATGGAATGCGATTGGTTGCGGGAAAGAGAGATTGTGTGTTTGTAGTGCGTGTATCCACACGAAAAAACAACCAGACACGATCAACAACAACAACAACAACATATTCGCCAATGCAAACGAATGCTGAACGATTTGTTATTTATCGCAAAATCATGTACTGAAAACTGAACGCCATTATTCAAAATGCTCGCATATGATCAATCATACGAAAAAAGCCATAAATTAAAAAGCATTTGCAATTAAATCACGCTGAAACAGTGAAACACTGGCTCTCTCTCTCTCTCTCGGTATGTGCAAGAGCACCGCTGGATATAGATATATTTATTATACGCTTTGCCTGTCTTATTCTCTTCAGTTCTCTGCACTTCGCTTCTCTCACTCTCTAATCATATTCAAAAGTATTTTGTGAGGGTCACACACTGTATATATGGTGCTGATTAAATGATTTTGTCACTTGAATTTCTTATCTTCTATAGTTGATTTGTTTCGTTTATTACTTTATCTCTCTCTTTTAGATCTATAGATATTGTGAATGCACTCAACAACATCGAAAAATAGGCCATTGAGTTGAGCTTTTGTTGTTGAGGACATGGAACAGGTCAAAGTATTTTTCATTAGTAGCTGGCGTGCTCGCGCTTATTATTTGATTAGACCAAAATGTATTTTGATGAGAGGGAGAGTGAGCGAAATAAAAACGCAATGAATTGAAATGAGTCTGTGCAAATGGTTTGATAATTTTTTTTGGCCAAAATGATCAGGGCAACGCAAGCAAATACGAGTTTGGTATGAAACTGGAATTGGTATCACAAACACAGAAGAAAAAAAAGAAAGAAAGACGGAGAAGCTAATTTATTTCAATTCTATTAGCGGAAAGTATTTTTTTTTGTGTGTTTTTTTTCTTACACACATATTAATTAATTGATTGGCGAGAAATATCACGTGACTGAATAATATTCAGTGAATATTGACATCTGCTATATGCATGCATAGAATTGTGTGCTTTTCAATATTATTTCTCATTTTTTTTCGCGTCATTTTCACTACGGGGCACTGTGCTTCTGCAATCCAATTAACCGCCACTTATAACTGTATTCTCAAACGACGCGCGAGCATATGAAATATCAAACGTACGTTGTTTGATATCGATACGTTTATATGCGCGTTTTTTTTCGGGCAATTATTTGCATTTCATGCAATAATTTCGAGTGTTTCGGAACGGCTACGTTTTGGATGTAGAGTAAGCACCAAGCTACCTTCTTGCAATAAGACGGAGAAGATCTGAGCTCTTGTGAGAAAAAGAAGAAGAATATCATACGAAAAATAGAAGAAGAAGACAAATAAGTGGCTTGAAGCAGGAAAAAATGAATTGTACCAATGAAAAAAAAAATAGCTTACAGAAGCCACAAATAGTCATGTAAATGAAATAAAAAGTATCGGATAGAAGAAGAGCGGGTTACACGAAAGACGTACAAATCAAAAACAAACAAAAATTCCATACTCTATTGACATTTGCGGCATCCAAAAGCGGCGAGCAGCAAACACACTTTTCATTGAATTTGTGATCGAATGCCGATGAGGTGTAACAATGTAAAAAAAAACTGAGTTTATTTACTCAAACACCAGATGTTTGATCGAGCTCACTGATGCTCGTTTAAATGTTCGCAGGCAATTTGAATCATCATTCGTACAACAATGCTGACACCGCTGCCGACGAAGACGACAACAATAACATTGTCTGGAAAACAACGAAAACAAAAAGGGCAAAACACAGTTTCACGTGTTTAAATTAATTATTTAATAAAGCGATCATTGAAATTTCGATACAGGACTAAGCGCCAATTCAGACGATGACGACGAAAATAAGGCAGCTTCGTGTGGCAGCTGGAGATGTGTGTATGTGTGTCTTCAAGGGAATTATCAAATGCTTTGGTGAGTGAGTTCTTCTTCTTTTTGTTCCCTCTTTTTAGAATGTGCAAAACAGGATTGATTATCGATTGTGACGTTATACCAATCCAAGTATTAAAATATCACGACTTTCAATTCACATCGACCACAAATGAACGAAACAGATGATAACTCACGTAAACTCATCGCAAGAGCGTGTGTGAGTGTGTGCTGCTCTTCTTCGATTGAATTGCACAAAATTATGCTTATAGTTGGAATGAACGAGAGAAGGCAAACAGAGAGAATTAAAAACACCACCATCAAGCGCACACATCGCGGGAAATTTTGGTATTTCTCGAATTAATAAATATTCATTTTATAAAGTGACAATCAGTGGCCGTCACTTCGAGCGTGTGTCTAACTCATTCATGGCCGTCACTTCATGCTGCTGGTGCTGCGGCGTCGGCGATCTTTTCGCTTGGGGAATCACACTTGAATGTAGCGCTTTTGTTCGCTCTTTCGCACAATCCAGACACGAATCATTTGAATGCAAGTGACGTAACACACACACAAACACATCAGGCGCACGCGCACGCTTATATCTCAAGACAGCAGCCACAGCCACAGCAGCAGCAGCAGCAGTAGCACAACATTGGAAAATAAAAGCTATTTAACGCAACTTAGCGCTGCATAATTTTGAACGTTGTTGTTTTAGTTGCTTTGCCAAATTCATATAATAAATAAACGAATAAAATGTTCGTTTCGTTTACTATTTAGCTAGTCTGAACTGGATAGGAATACTGATGCTTCAACCTCTCACGCTATTTGTCTATGCCAAACTGTGTAGCCACTTTTAAAATCTTTTTCATCATCATTTTCGTTGATTGGACATATGTTTGAACAGAAAAACCAATTTGTAACTAGAGTACACCATAAACACATCTCTATAGCCCCTTCTCGCTCTCTTGCGTTCGCAGTCAAATAGACAAAAATTTAAATTATGATTAGAAATAATCGTGAGCAAACATTGCTCGAGTAGATGAAAACGTCGCAGAGAGATACTGAGAGGGACGGTTAGACAAAAAAACGAAAAGTACTCGCATTTAACTCTCTAGTGCATAAACGAACTTATAAGAACAGTTCATTCAAATGTTTTTAAATTGTTAACCATTGATTTTATCGCAAAATGATGCATGACAGTTTTCATCAGAAAACACTAGCGCACATTTCTTTTCCACGAACTTTTAATCTACGGTCAGTCGGTGTCTAGTTATGACCGCATCTTTGCAAGAAAACAGTGTTGCTATAAAAATAAATTATTATAGACAAAAATTTGACACTTTTAAACAATGGAATCCATTGTTCTTTTTGCTTGTCAAATGCATTTTCTGAGTAAAATATGAATTATACCAAAATATAAATATTTTTTTAATTATTTGTGCCCCAAAATTAACCACCTAGCTCTGTAAAAAATATATGCATTAGAGGGTTAATTTGCTTGGATTTTTACTTTGGACCGTTCCATTCAATTATGAACAAAGCACACTCGAAAGAAGAGAAGAGAAAAAACAGAACCAACTCCAAACAAACAAAAAGTTCTTGCTCACGATTGCGCGAGAGACCGCAGAGTCGGCTATTGTTGGCTAAATAAATGATTTCGTTTATATGAATTTCGAATAGTCAGTTGAAAATTAAATTAATGCATACAATCTTCGAATTGTCGTGCGGTGATAACGCGACAAAATGATCACACTGGAACGCAGCAACAACAACAACAACAATTACAGCAACAATATTTAACGCATACAGTAAAATCCAACACACAACGATCATGTAGAGAAGAAATTAAAAAAAAGACAAGAGACGTTGTACGCATATGAATAAACCGTGAAAAGTGCACAAATACAACGGTAAATTAAACACAACAGGGCACGATCGCACTTCAACTCTTCTTCATCAACAACGGAACATATATACTGACAAAAAACAATCGAATGCAACACATCTTCACTGTGTCGTTTACTTGTTCGACTTCTTCAATCTGTGTGTCTTTTTTCTTCATTCCAATTCGTGTTATTTTGGTGGAGATGCAGTTTTTGGACATTTTATATCATTTTTGTTTGTTGGTTTTTCACTTTCACAATTGTAAATCTCCCGAAACTGGAAAACTTTTTCATTGGGCAAATTGGGCCACACACACACACACTCTGGGATACACACTCCCTCGGCACAGTTTTACCGATCAAAACACTTAATAAATTATATATATTATTTTGTTTATTACCCGAGCGTAATTCACACACAAACGTACACCAATCTCGATGCTGTGCTGCTGTTTTCTACTCGATCTATCTCGGATCGGCAAAACGAAGTGACACAAGGTTTTAATTTTAAAAAAAATTCGCTCTCGCTCCTCACTCGCGAGTTCACGGGGAGAAAAAAAAACCAACAATCACATGAATTTCGCCACATACATCGATCGAATTTTGGAAATGATCGCGACTTTTTTTGCGGCCATCGGAACTAAAGAACCCTTCGCGAATTTAAACAGAAAAAAACACTTTAATTTTTTTTTCTCTCGTCTTTTGGAGAAATGGCAATGTACGAGCACAACTAGGCGCAAGACGAAAAAACAGTAACTTGAATTCAAGAAAACATTGTCAGTACACACAACACACCGAGAAAAAGATATCGCGAGAGCACGAGAGAGCTGATGTTTTTTCATACTTCTATATGTGTGCAGTGTATACACAGTTCCAATTGAAAAGGCAAACCGAACGAGCGAGAGTGAGAGAGAACAGAGAAAGAGAAGGAGACAGAACGATGGAATCACACACTCTCGGACACAAAATTAACGCACAGTGAACGCTTCTCCATCTGCAGGCTAAATGACAAAACCACAAGTTTAAGTCATCTGATCATGTATCTGGAGAGAGAGCGAGCGTCAATATGCAAGCGCGATTCACCAGCGACGCACAATCATAACGCAATTTCACCTGAGTTTTTTCTCGCTTTACATCAACGATCGATTGGTTGTTGGTGATGACGGTCGGAGTTTTTTTTTCTTGCGATTAAGCCATCATGCTTTTCTTACTATGCTTTTGCGTTCAGAAGCTTATTAAATACTTTCTTGAGAGGCGGATTGTATATCAGTAGCAGTGACGAGTTGCGGTGGAAAATTGATTTCATGATCCATTCAAGATGCAAACCAATCGATACTTTGCATAAGCACTTTTTGTGGACAAAATGTATAAAAACAATAACATTTTGAGAAAAAAAATCGGTCAAATTCACATTTCTTCCTTGTTTTTTACAATTAAAACTTATAATTATATTTTAAGTGTGAATCATTCAATTTTTACTTGATTTTCATCTCAAAAAATTAAACAAATTCCGATTTCAAGTTTACAAACGATGATAAATATTGAAACCGATATAGCGGAAGCTCAAACCGACTTGAACTTTTCTACTAAGTGGAGACGGAAGCTTCACACCACTTGAAAAATACTGAAATATACAGAAAAATCCATCAAAATCGTGTGTTTCGGCTGAGTTTCTTAATTAAAGTTCAAATTTTGAATACAATTCATTTGAATATTACCGAAAAAATCTATTTTTTTCCCCCAAAAACGGTTCAATTTCTCTTCAAACTGTCCGAAAATCCAATGTTGGCATCAAAAATAATCAAACCTTAGCATTGCACCACAGGAACGCGCTCCAAAATTCGACACATTTCCATTCTCTCTCTCAATCTCTCTGTATGTGCAATTGTTATGACAAGCGACCATTGACAGTTGGGTGGAGAGTAGTGCATATTTTTTTTATTATCAGTCAAAATGTGCGTAAAATAAACACCGTGCTAAGCAGTTATGCTTCCGAATCGAGAGTGAACAACAACAAAAAACGAAACACCGAAGACACGAAATGAAATTTGTATTGTAATCACAATAGCACTCTGTCGTTAATTTACCAATTTTGCCATTACAATCTAGCTTGGTGTTATGATTTGGATATTCAAGTTTTTGATTTTTCTATTCTATTATGTGTTCGTCACCGTTTTCCTCGTTTATTTGTACGTAAACAATGCTATCAATTTCTTTGAGCTGAATGTGTTCTCATCGTCGGCATCGGCAATTAAACACAGTTACGATGTGATAATCGGTAAATTCCAGTTTATTGCTTTTCGTTCAAAATATCTGTCAGAGTATTTCTAGTTTCGGTTAATTTGTGATTGAAACATTTCGAAATTTCAGTCGGTGGTGGAACTGCCGGGTTAACGATAGCCGCTGGATTGAAGGAGAAAAATGTGTTAATCATCGAAGCAGGCGCTGATTTTCAATCGCCAAATGCACCGATATCGTCGGCAATTGGACGAATCATTCATAATATTCCAATAGCAACGCCATTGTTACAGTTTCAAGAGCTGTTCGATTGGCAATACAAAACGCAGCCACAGCAAAATGCGTGCAAATCACTCACGAACAATGTCAGCCATTGGCCAATGGGCAAAGGAATCGGCGGAACACAACTCATTAATAACATGATCTATGAACGTGGCCACGAAGATGATTTTCGCGATTGGTTCGATGCAAACACAGACAATTACAATTTTACCAAAGATATTTTACCATTTTATAGGTAAATTTGAAATGGGAAATGAACCGCTTTTCTTTACATTTTTATTTCTTCTGGAGTTTCAAAGGAGAATTGATTAAGAGATAGTCTTTAGTTTTAAAGAGTAATTTTGGCTTCAATAAGACTAGATTTACAATTTCAAATCCAAATTTAACATGTAATTTCAATGGAAAAAAATCAAATTCCTAAAAACAACTCCAATTTCTGCCTCCCCCAAACAGAGAATTCGAAGAGTTTCTGGAATTGTCGGATCTGCGAAGCACAACCAAAGTAGCTGATGCGTTTGTTCGGTCGGCGCCACAACTGCTCGATCAAAATGTCATTGAATTTAAATTGCCAAAGGTCATTCAAAACAATGGTAAACGCTGGAGTGTGGTCGATTCATATCATTCATGGTTGCACACGAGCCACCAGCACATGTTGTCCGATGCGAAAGCCGAGCGAATTCTGTTCGATGGCGATGCTGGTGATATAAAGGCATCGCTAAAAGCGGTTGGAATTCGATACCGCAAATTAGGTCATCTGTACGAAGTGCGAGCAACAAAAGCTGTGATATTAGCCGGTGGAACGATTGGTACGCCCACGTTACTGTTGAAATCTGGCATTGGGCCGGAAAATCTGTACGCACAAAATACAAATAAAACAGCGAAAAAAGACACCACCAAAACCGCGGACGATCCATTGAAATTGAAGCTTCAAAAGCATTTACCGGCGGTTGGTCAACATTTGCAGGATCATGTGACAACGGGCTTGGATTTGATCACATTGAATCAATCACTTGGTTTGGAACCGTGGAATTTGTACAGTGCACGGCATTTGTGGGATTATTTTTGGAATGGTAACGGCCCATTCACGATGGGCGGCTGTGAGGGGCTTGGATTTGTCAAGACAAATTTACATGAATCAGGTGCACCTGACTTAGGTTTTATGCTCATCCCAATGGGATCGACCATTGATGCTGGCGTTTACTTTCGCCGACTGTTAAACATCAACGAACGCACTTGGAAGGAATATTTTCAGCCGCTCATTGCAACACCAACCATTTCCATTTTGCCGATTGTACTGCATCCAAAATCGCGTGGTTTCATTTCCGTTCGATTGACGCGTGACGATGATGTGGATACAGTGATCGAACCGCGGTATTTATCCCATCCGTATGATATTGATGTGTTGGTCATGGGCTTGAAAATGATTCATAAAATGATCAACACGCCCGCATTCCAAACACTCGGCACATCGTTAACACAACGACCATTGCCCGGCTGCAGCCAATATCGATTCACATCTGACGAATATTGGCAGTGCTATGCACAGCATTTAACGCTGACCGCCTATCATCCGGTCGGCACTTGTCGCATGGGCACATCGCAGAACGATTCCGTCGTCGATCCATCCACATTTCAAGTTCATGGCGTTGATCAACTGTACATTTGCGATGCATCCATTATGCCATCGATGCCAAGTGCCAATCCACAATCAACCGTCGGCATGCTCGCTCGCAAATTTTTACATTCATTTTACGCACATCAATCAAATTCAGGAGACAGCAGCTTGTAAACACCTTTTTATTTCTTCTAGGGAACCATAACGACACAAAAGAAAAACCAAATCGAAACAAGAATCAATGTTTATTTATTTTATCCAGTGAAAGAACCGAAAATAAATACCAAATCATTGTGATCTGAGCAATCCTCTTTGTTTACTCTTTATTTTTTCGTGGTGGAGATTATTTAAGTTTTCTCTTTGGTTTCGATTGGAATAGCATGGGTTTTTGATGCATCAAATTCACACTTGGATGGAGAGATAGATAGAGAAAATTTTCCCATTTGAATCGGGAAAAATTGTTTGGATGAGTGTTCAATAGGAGATTTGTTGCTCTTAAGCCAATGTTTTGCTTTAGTCGTATTTATGGGAAGATGAAGAATATGAAAAGCGTAAGTATATTCAATAGGAAATGAACGAGTTTATTTATTCCGATACTTAAATCGGTATTTACATATCTTATGTAAACTAACAGTGCATGGGACTATATGAAAATGTGATGGTAAATTTTTGGAAGTAGTTTATTTTCTCATTATGAGATTACGTTCATTCCGATGTGAGACTCACGAATTATATTGGCGACACCAAGCTATATAACCAATGAAAAATATGAAATAAATAAAACTAAAATCTCTGCTCAAGCGTTTCACTTGATTTCATTCGACAAACGATGTTCGCGAAGAAATACGCTCGACATTGTTCTAGCAAAACGTCGGCCAAGTTGCAAGCGCTGCAAAAAAAATAAAAATAAAATCAGTTCCAACAAAACCACTCAATTTCAAACGCTTCACTCGAATTAATTGCATTTCTTTCAACACACACTTGATACTAGCACATTGAAAAGTCTCGGTCGTTATTGAAACCACTGAAGAATATCATGAATAAAGGAATGTTTTTCCATTCCTTCATTTCCTTTCAAACTAAATAATGTGATTCGTGATTTCCATTCCAAGTGGGCTATTTGATCTGTTCGACTGAATGCGACGGCAAAGTAGGTGCGCGTCCAATAGTAGAATCACAGTCAGCAAAAGGTATCTCCTTTCAAACGCACATCGCGTTCTGAATGGTATTCATTGTTGCAGTGAAGCGTTAGCTTTGGCTATGGCTTAAGCGTTGTTTGTCCAACTGAAACCATCACACCAAGTGAAAATTGAATAAATCAGCGTTTTTCGACATTCGCGATTCCCATGCATCGAATGGGAGCATAAAAGGTACTTCCAATTTCATTGGAGCGTCTATGCCGTCAGGTGTCATACGACTAAATAAATTTGCGCTCGAAGGATTCATGTAAGCGAAAATAGAATGTCTTCTAAAAGAATTGCTCGGGTTTATGATTTCACTCGTATGGTAAAGTGTCTTGACAAATTAAGCGCAAAAATGTTCAGCCGTCGTTTCTCATGGAAGTCGATTGCGCTGACTTCACAGAAAAACAACCATCCGACGAACGAACAAGGCAAAGAAAATAAAATACCGAGCCGTCGATCGTGTACAACCAAAATTAATAATTTGCTCATTTTTGTGATTTTTTTTCTCCATAATTGTTTGATTTCCGTGCCCGTATCCAAGTCGTCGTTTTATGATTCGTTTTTTTTCTGCGTTCTTCGGAACTGTCGCCTCGAATGAAAATGTATGGAAACATTTTTATTTTCATCTCCCATTATTTCGCCTTCTCAGTACCGTCAAGACTTTATGTTATCAAAACTATGCATTAAATTCCATGGAATTTTGTAAACAATTTGTTCCGTTCGCATGCCAAGCAGAAACAATTAAACCAGCGATGATCGTTAAATCGTTTATTTATTTCGTTACACAAACCGAGATTGAAGATCGAACCCGAATTCGAATGTGAATTTTTTCGGGCATTTTTTCGCCTCCGTTTTATTGCCCATACCGAGAATAAGCAATGACACATTCGTTCACACAAATTGAATATGGGGCGAGAGAAAGAAGAAAATACTTTTTCATATCCCTTCCAATTCTAACAATTATCAACGGTTTCTTCAACGCAACGACTTTCGACTCTCGATGTTCGGCTGAATCGGCAAATTATGTCAACACCAAACGCCTTTTCTGGTGTCCGTGTGTGTGTGTGTGTGTGTGTGTGTGTGTGTGTGCATGTATTGTAACGACAACACGGATTTAACATGCGTGTATCGCATGATGTCCAATGAGACACTCTTCGGTGTCGAAGGCGACTGAGCGCGCGTGCAATATGATCCAATGTCGCAGCATTTCGATATATGAGTGTGAGTGCATGAGACGAAATCGCCTCGCTTGGTCGTCGGTATTTCACGATTCGTACGGAATCAGAACATTCATATTTAGTTGTGTCTTTTGTTTTTATTTTCTGTCGTTTCGTCATTCCGTTAGTCGTAGCACACTGGAGAACTAATTACGAAATTCAATGTTTTAACCACTTGGTGGCTCATGGTATTCGACTGCTACGATTAGTCTGATCAGTGATACGGAACCGACGACATCGAAAATTGGATCAATCCTTTCAAGTCCTGTAAGTATACAATTCTATTAGTGATTTTTTCTGTTTTGATTTGATTTTTGTCGATTGCTTCGCGATTCAGTTCTTATTCCTGCAGAATTTAACCGAAAATAACCGCCAGTTTTAGTTAATTAGACGTTTTTTAGTTTTCATTCGTGAGATCTCGTTTAATAAAATATCTTTGAAACAGAAAATGTGATTTTTTTCAATGGAGATTTTTTTTTTTCGTATAAAAGACTTTCGATTTCGATTCCGATTCAGTACAAATCTTTCAAGTTTTCATTATAAACTTTTTCTTTTGAATTTTCGTCTCTCATCACTTGACGAACTCTCCATCGCTTCAAATATTTCGCTCGAGAAAAATTTCTCACCTGACTTAAGCGTCTTATTTGGTTCATTTTACGAAAATTCTCTTATTTTCGGTGTTTCCTGTAAAAAAAAAGGAACATTTTCGTCTTCAATTATTCTTGTTATTCTTCGATTTTATAGATGCACCCTTTTTTTGCGTTTTAGATTTTACGCATTCAAAACAATGATTCCCAAGATTCAAAATATTTAATGTGAATCTTCAATTTGTTGAAAACATCCTTTAATCAAATTCGCAAAGTAAACATTTGTCAAGCGAAAAATTGCCTTTAAAATGATTCATTAATTAATTAAAATTTTATATTTTGAACATTACATTTCAAACAGCTTGACACTCACAAGTTATGCAAATTTCATAGTGTCTCTAAGAAAGACTTCACGGTTTTTTCTAATCTACTCGGTATTTTTAAGTCAAAATTTTCCTTATTTGCCCTTGTTTCATCTAGTTTCGCCTCCCAAAGTAATAATCAAGATTAAAATTCTGATTCTAACAAGAAGTTCTAAAATTCAAGTCGAAAAAATCGCGATCGAGATATTTGATTGTATTGTTTCAGAATATTAAGACTCAGCTAAAAAAAAAAACTCAAACTAACACTCAAAAAAATGAAAAGTCATCCTGATGTTTCCACTTCAAAAAATGTATTCGTCTCGTACCGAAAACAAATTTAATTGATGAAAGGTTGTTGCAATCAATCGATTTGCTGCGTTTCCAAAATTGTAACAAACTCTCACTGAATTTGCAGAACATGGTTCAGTTTGTGCACGTTCATGCAATTAGCCGCACGATACACAGTTGCTTGAATTGATAAGATGCGCATACGAAATGGGCAAAAGAGTTTCCGAGGTGAATGCTGTGAAAAAACATGAACGAACACGTGTGTGCACAGAGCAAACGAAACGCATCCGCAACGGTGCTAGCATCGGCATGCCAAATGCTCTATCAAAGGCATTTTGAGAGCCATTGAACAGTATCGGCAGTTCATAATGATTTCATTCCGCTGCGATTTCATTTCCACACCAAAAAAGAAATATATTCCGAATTTGATTTGAAGAAAAAAAAACAGTTTAAATGGTTTTACCGTCGTTCTTCGTTCAATACACAAAATATTCCATTTCAAAAGTTATAAAATAAGACCTAATTGAATGGCCGTGCTGTGTGTGAATGTGCGCAAAAATTCCTTCCGTTTGAGCATAATTCCCATTCAAATTGGTTTTACGGCCGTGCTCCAAATCGGTATTTGGTTCAATCACACACACAACACAATGCATGAACAATTGAAAACGAAATTGCGCAATAGATTTAGATCGAACGCGAGCCGGCATCTTCCGCACGCCTCTCACGCCTCGTCTAACCGTTACACTGAATTACTCATTCCGATTCGTATTTGATGGCGGAACATTCTCAAATGGTGAATAATAATTTACGTTTTGTGGACGCTTTCATTGCCTATCTCGTTCTCGGTTCTTTCTCATTTGCAAAGAAAGTGCGATTTTGAATTCGATGCAATGGAAAACTGAGAAAAATAGCAACGGCAGCAGCAACAGCAGCAACAGCGGTGCCGACAAGTGAATAAATCATCGTTGCAGAAAGAATAAACAAAACAATGCAACATGTAAAAGTGGCTGCGGGCAACATTTTCACATCACATCATCGACATGCTTCAATTCCGATCAGTGCAGCCGGCTACTTGCGTAACTTCTCATTTTACATTATCTGTAACGATAAACATCTCTCACACACATCAAACTCCGATGAGATAACACTTGTTGCAGCTCCCAATCTCTCTCGGCAACAACAATGCCAACCAAAGATTCATGCAATTATCGGCTTAATTACTACACAAGTAATGCAAGTTAATGACCGGAATCAAGTCTGATTTCAAATTATGTCGAGAAAAAAAATTATTTTACAAAATCTTTTACAACAAACCAAATTATCATAAACATTTTTTTTAACTTCTTCGTTTCAAGCAGAATTTTTCGTGGTGGTTAATCGATAATCACTGTTTTCGTTTTTGCTTTTTTTCAAAAAAAGGTGAAGCAGATGGGTTCATCGTTTTGTGGAAGAGATTGACCGCAGACCGATATGAAATCGACTGATGGAATTACACCCGGACTATTTCACGCCAGAGCATTCACACCACAAATCACGGCACAATTAAAGGCATGGGAGCAGGCCACTACCTCATCATCACTTGATTCATGTTAATAACATGTGATGTGACGTAGTGGAATCCACCCTTGACTATCACATCGCAACCAGTTATATCATATTTTCATATTTTTATCCATTTTTTATCCTATGTGTTCATTCTTTTGATGTAGAGCAGATCGTTCTTTTCTTTGGAATAAAATTGCGATTCAAAAATTTTCAACGAATCGTCTTGAGATTTTTCAAATGAAACTTAGACTAGAATCAATCTAGGGAAAAAACAGTTAGATGTGTTAAAATCGAACTTTTGCAAAAAAAAATTCTACGAATTTCTTTGAAATTTAATGTGTTTCTTTCTTCATTTGAATTTTCTAAAATTCTTCCTCTTTTTTCCATAATTTGTCATTTCAATAGAATAGAAATTGGTAAAAAATTGAAGTTTTACGACTAAAAACTGAGTTCGTGAATATTAAAGGTAAAGGATGACTAAGTCATCATGACTTAGAGTAATCAGTTGGTTCAGGAGCAAAAATAGATCTCTTACAAATCAGTTCAAATACCGTGCAAGATCAAAACGCAATGAAACTTTCTTAAATTCATTTTTGTAAGAAAAAACTCAATTGTACCAAATTTGTCTTTTGATTACAAAAATCTTTTCTGATTTCATTTTTTTACATGAATTTTGAATTCTTTTTCATCCAATCGAGTTTGATGAATGTGATACGTGCATTTGTTGGTTAAACCAAACCAAAGATTCAACAAGAAAAATTTAATTTTTCTCAAATTTCCATCAAAATTCATTGATTCAACGTTCGTGTTGCCAACCTTTATTCATTTGGTTGACAGGAAGGATTTCGGTCACATGTAACCGATGATTATTTTGGACCCTACAGTGGGCAACCATCAAGCAGAACTGAAATGACATGCAGCCAAGAAAACCTTGTCGTTCTTCACAACACATAACCTCGACGAAAAGATTAGACAGATTTAAAGATTTGTCTTTAGACAATGACTATTTTGAGCGAAAATAATTGAAAATAGGTTTCGATTTCTTTGAATTATCTATGTATTTGATGCAAATAAAATTGTCTTGAATAAAAAATGAAGTCAATTTCATCGCCAGAATTCTGTCTTTATCTCTTTTTTTGATTTCTCTATCTATTTGTCTATCATGTTCATATCGTTCTAAGTCTTCTTCCGTTTTTTTCCATATTTTTCAATAATAATAATAATAAAAAAATACTACAATCTCAACATTGATATGTTAATCCTTAAAGAATGAAATCTAAAGCGTAGAGAAATGAATGAAAGATAAAATTTAGAAAAAATGAAAAAAAACGGAAATGCCGTCGTTTTTTTTCTGATTGAGAACAAGCATTGTTCGTTGTAAAAACGAAATTTGAACGTAAATTTCTACAAGTTTCCAATAGATGTCGCTGTGTGAATTGGGTCCTTTTGCATTTTGTGTATACAATTTATACTGGTCATTCAGTTGAACTGAATCAGTTGGTTGGTTGTCTTTATGTTGCAGAATTAGTCCAGTTGAAGAAAAAGATGCACATCTTCACTGGATATACCACATTATCTTGCCATAAAAAATGACGTAACCTCTTCAATTTAAAATGTAATAATTTTCTCTATCGACGAACAAGAAATGTAACCCATTTTCATGTACTAATCAGCGCTAATGGTAATTCTCTCTTTCTCTCTCATTTTTTCCCCATCTGTTATGTTCAATCGCATTTGAATTCCATTTATGACCTTAAATTTATGCGCGTGCAGAACAAGTCAAAAAGCGTTGGATTTCATTTTTGGATTGGTCGACTCTTGTAGAAAGTCGCAATTGAATAAATGTGGTGACTAGGCAAATTTTTTCGTGAAGCACATTCCATTCTTTGTTGAGTATATTAAATGCAGTTCAGAAGAAGCGTTGCAGAAAAAAAAGCGGCGAATAATCAATTTTCTTTTCGTTTCTTCTCTTCTCGGTTGTTGCTGTTTTATTCGCGAACGCGCGCCACGGTTATTCTTGTATTATTTCAAGTGTGTGCTGGAAATACTTCAGAACAAAAGAGAGGGAGATAGAGTGAAACTGTTTGCATCCACTGGTTTTTAATCTACCTTTTTTGCATTTTGCATTCTTTTAGACTCTTTGCGCAGCGAGCCAAACTAAACCAAACTGATCGCGTTCATTTCGTTTTAATTCTTTCTCTCCTTGGTGCCGCTGACGCGCGGCTTTTTTCCTCCTTCTTCTTCTTTCTCGTCTGTTGTTCGTGCTAGAGAGCAAGAAAAAAAAATATAAGAGAATAATACAATAATATTTGTCACATTTTATCGCGCACACATTCGCACAAAACATCACGAGATTGCATTATTTGCCGCTCATAACATAAATATTTCGCTCTTTCGCAAATGGTGAACACTGTCGGGAACCTGAACCCAAATGAAGAAGAAAAACCGAAACGACAACAACAACAACAACAGCAACAACAAATTAAATATCAACAACAGGATTGATACGAATACACACTACAGGTACTCAATCGAGTGAGCGTCTTGTATGTGTTGTCAGTGCAGTGCACAGGCTAATGGCAAATATGTAGCTGAATTCAACTGATATGGAATCGGCGCAAATCCAACCGAGTCAGAGAAAGAGCGAGAGCAAGAACAGAGAATCACACACACACACACACACATGCACTACGACGCTAGACCGACCGGACCAGTTGATGTTTGCAGTATCGTACGAAGGTTTTGCTGTAAACAAAACCTTTGATTTTATCATAGGAAGTTTGATTGTTTGGTGAATACCAAATTCAGATCGATAAGTTTATCGACTTTTTGGCATCTAGATTCGATTTATGATAAATTAATCCATGTTATAAGGAAGAAAGTTGTTGTATATATAAAAAAAAATCGGTTTGAATTCAGAAAGTCAAACCAAGGTGAATGCAATTTTATTTGAAATTCCGAAGATTTTGAGATATTTTTCCTACAAACGAACAGAAAATGTAAACAATTTATGAAAAAATTGAATAAAAATTCGAAATTTCTTTATTAAATCACGATTTTTGGTCAAATAAATCAACCGTTCAATTTCTTTTGTATACTTTTACTTGAAGAATAAGCAAAATTTGCGCAAAAAGTGTAAAATGTCTCTAGTTGAGATCCAAAAAAGTCTAAAATTGCACAAAAATAGATGTCAGAGAATGAAAATAATCGCTTAAAAATAATAACAACTAACGAACAATAAGGAGGAAAATAGTTTTTACATCATTTTGGTGTCTCCACTCTCTCCGTCTATTTTTGCATTGAGACTTGAAGTCTCAAATGCAAATCTATATGGTGGAAATGGAGACGTCAAAATGATGTTTCAAATGTACGGGAGACTATCGTCATCCTTTCCCGATTAAATCCCATTTTCCTCAAAATGTATCGCACACTCAATGAAATTACAGTAACGTAATCACAAGCATAATCAGTTCCAATAAATGTTTGAGATGCCATACAAAATATCGTGTTGGTTCCATGCGCAGCGCAGTCATACACCCGCATTCATGCGACTGTCGTCGCCCGTATTGAACAGTCTAATGTTCTGGTGGTGTTGTGTACTTGCTGTATGGCATGGTTGAAGCGAGCAAACGAGAGAGAGAGGGAGAGTATGTGACAGTGCGGCTCTCTCAGCCGTTTGCTTGCATTGAGCTGTTCTGATACGAGCCGATTGCGAATGCGATGAAAGAGAGACCGAGAGAGAGAGCGAGCGAGAGCGAAAAGCACTCAAAGCGTACAAGTGTATCGAGAGACGGGCAAAACAACGATACATACACAGGCGCGCCGTAACAGAAAAGGCATACACAGCTCTATACATAGAGAGAGCACAGCACGAACACAGCACACGGCACGGGATGGTATGCAATGGAAAACATTGGTATTCCATGTATTTTTTTCGTAGCTCGTCCGTAGATTAGTTGAGATTGAACCGTTGCGTTGATCAGCACGAAGAACGGATCACGGTTTTGTTGTGTTTCATTCCAACCGACACAACCGACAACAGAAAGGAAGACAGAAAAATAATAAGAATTGAAACGAAAAGAAAAAACTGAAATTGTGTGTTGTTTTGCGAATTGTGATTTTTCTACATTTCAAAACCGAAGAATAAAAACGGACAGAATTCTGGTTCGTGTATTTGAGAAAAAAAAGAGTGTATAGCTGCATCAAGCGCAAGTTGCAACGGCAAGCATCGACTTTTTGGTATGTCCAATGCATTCAACAACAACAACAACAACAGCAGAAACAAAAAAAAACATAAAACAACTAAAATTCTGATACATTTCATTGTTTGATTGAAATTGGTGTGCATTTCAACGGTCGATCGGGATTTGTTCAGAGTGTGTTCGATACACTGATTTAACGAGAGTCTTGTGAAAGAGATGTGTGGGCATGACGGCTGCTAATGTCATTTGCTTTCCTTTTGAAAACTTATAATGCAGTTTTATGTTATTTATCACTCTTGGTATTCTTGTTGTCCAGTGCAGCAAACGGTAATTGGTTTTGGTGTTTAGTGTTTTGTTTTGTTTGTTACTGTGTATGTGTGCCTCTATTTCGACAATGGATGAAAGGAAATAAACAAAAAGCAAAGAGAGCATTGAAAAAAAAAACATAGCGAAAAAAAATTCCGGGCCGCTGTAACGCGCCCGACAAATGTGTGCCAAGAACATTTTTTTTCTTTCTCTCTCTCTCTCTGTGTGTGTGTCTCGGCTGTGATAAGCGTTCAAATCGAAATTGGTGTGTTGTTTTATTGCCATTTCAACACCTCTCTGGGTGTGATAGGGAAACAAAAAGGAATATAACGATAATTTCAAACAAATCAAGTTTGAAAACCTGTATTGAAATTGGCTTTCGCTGCTCTCGGAATGGGTGAATTCGTTGTGTTCGTTTTATCGGCGGCAGCGTCGTCGTGGTCGTCATCGTTGAAAATGGTTAGAAATCGACACACAAAACTGCCATCAGCTATAAAATGAGCGAGAGATAGACAGAAAGAAAGAAAACAAAAAACGCGGAGGTTTTCAGTTCTTCGATTGTATGTTTACATAAATTCTTGGCAAGCATGCACATTTTTCGTTTTACAAATTCAAAATATATTCATTATCTAACAACACACACGAAAAATGAAGCCCGAACGAACGGCGTTGTATGTGAGCGTAATGCGACGTGAAGAGAGAGAGAGAGAGAGAGAGAGAGAGAGAGAGAGAGAGAGAGAGA